AGAAAGCCTTTTCTTCCTAGAGAACTTCACCCCAAAGGCAACAAACGGCAGTGCAAACCCTGTTCATTTGCCCCAAGCACAACGGGAAGATGGTAACCAAGGAACAAGCATTTTCCAGGAGGGGAGCTGGAGAGAGCCAGTTGATTTAGCAGATCCCCTGTGCCAGATCCTCTCCGCAGTGGCGGGTAGGGGAGGAACCGGGGCTTGGGGAGTCCCAGAAGGGGGAGCTGCTGAAGGCATGCAGGCTGACAAAGCTGTAACAAAGGATTCATGCAAAAGTAGTACCAACGATCTTTAAAGGATCACACCTTACAGGCGGGTCCCCAGATCCCCGGGACATAGTCCATTGACTGTTCCTCCCGGGCGCTGCAGACGTGCCCCGCCTGTCAATGTTGCAGGCTCGCCCCCAGGCCTCGCCAGCCGCAGGGCCTCGTGCAGCGTTGGCCCTGCGCTCCTGCAGGCGGAGAGCATGGGTGAGTGGCTGCGCCTGGGTCCGCATGGCCTTGTCGGTGGCTATTCCCCAGGCCGCCGCTCAGTGAGGCGGTGGTCTTGTTGGGCAGCATATCTCCCCCTTGGTTGGCCAGGGAAGATCGTGGGCTGCAATCTGGTCTGACAATGCAGGCCCAGAAGCAGGCCATGAGACTCCCTGCTGGGTGAGAGGAAGTGGGCTGGAGAAGCAGGAGCTCCTGGGGTTAGCAGGGGTAAGTCACCAATGCCTTTGCAAGGAAAGCAAGCAGGACACTGGAAAGGATGTCCCCAGGATGTGCTGTTGGGGAGCTCATGGTGATTAGATGGGCATTTCCTCTGCTTCTGCTGAGGCTCTTTGAGAACACCAGTTCCCCTGGCCCCTCTACCCTGCCGCCAGGGAACACTGGCAGTGACTCAGCGTCTGAGTGCAGTGAGGCCTCCAGCTGGTGAGTAGGAATTGGCACCCCAGCACCTGAGGATGGGAAGAGTTGAGACCGAGGCAGGAGGGTGATTGGGTGGGGTGGGAGGAACACCATAAGGACCCAAAACTTTGCCCTAATTGTCCACTATGGTCCTGAAGGCTCTGGTGCAGCCCCCAGGTACCTCTCTGAGTTGGTGGGAGAGGCATTCCTCTGGGAACTCGGGGCCCAGGAGTGGGGCTCAGTGCAGACCTGCCAGAAGCAAAAAGCTCAGGGTCTGCGTTCAGAACTAGGCATAGGTAGAAGATTTCATCAGGCAGGGGTATCCCTCCATTGGTGACAAACTGGGTGAAGTGAACAAAACTTTGGGAGAGGGGTAGAAGTGGGTGCGAAATCTGGTCAGTGATGACCCCTCTACTTCACAGTGTCCCTTTTATTTAATTCAGCCCAGGGGAAGGCCCTCAGAGTTGCTGCACACTTGGCGTCCAGCTGCCAGGCTCTCCAGGTCCCCCTAACTGCCCAGAGCAGACAGTCTGCCAAAGCTAGCTCAAGCCCTCAGGCCAGGCCTGCAGATCCCTCCCCAACTCTCCCCACCCCAGCTGGCCTGGGCTGGGCTGTGCTGGGACTGCGACCTCACAAATGGACCCTTCGGGTGGGGCCTGCTCGGAAATTCCAGCCAGTCATCCCAGCATGGCAGAGAGGGCTGGAGCCCTTGAGTGACACAAGCGCCTACCCCTAGCTACATACAAGTGCAAATGAGATGCATTTTGGCTGATCAGTCCACTGTATTTTATGCAACTTAATGTGTCTATGTCTTGTCAACTCTTCTAGTCAGGAAGACTAGCAGAAAGTTTTAAAAGGAGTTTTTGTATGTGTGATTTCCAACTGCAATTGCATCCAGGGAGATGGGGTGAGAGTGGGGACAAGACTGCTTGTTGACACGAATAACAGTTTATTAACCCACCTAAAAAGCGAACTAAAGCCACAAAGAAGAAACGAAAAAGAGGTGGGGGTGGGTTGCGGTTGCCGACAAGAGACCTTGACAAAATTAGTTGGACTCTGGCTGGGAAAAGTTTAAAGCCATACGTTTCTTTTTCAAGAAACAAAATTCATTTGTATTTACTTGGGTGCAAGAGACAGATCAAACTCCTTCTCCCAGATTACCTGACACCTCGAACAATGCGTAGGGGCTACTTGGGGTGGGGAGGGAGCTCTCAGGAGTTCAACAGGAGGCTAAAGGTTTTCTGACACCATGGAGGCCCTATCTGAGCCACTGGTACTGTCTTTCTTTACATGTCAATTTCCAAACAAGTTGTAAATGCGAGAACCTGGCCTCCAACTCTCACCAGGCTGTCCCACCTCTACCAGGTATTCTGAGAAAGCCAGTCCTCTCAGACCTAGGCAATGTAGGCCTCAGTAAGATAAAGAGTGGCAGTGGTGGCAGGTCTGAGGGACCAAATGGCGTCTGGTGTTCTGCCCTAGGCCGCCTCCCAAGATTCACACAAACACTTAGAGAGAGCTCTGGTCTTTCAGCTCAGAGCCTGAGAACTACCCAAGGACAGCCAGAGAGGAGCCTTGGGCCAGCTCCACCCCCACCCTGCCCCTTAACACAGGTATTTGCTGTCCCAGGCTTGCCTGCCACTGACCCAAGGAAAGGGAACATCAGGTTTTCTTAGCCCTGCTCCCAAGCCCTGCCCCTCTGCCCGGCTTAGAGGTAGGCAGGGCCCAAACTGCTGGGAGTCACCAGAGCTGTGTGCCAGCCTCTTCCCCCTCTTTCATGGGGTTCTCAGAGTTCACAGGGAACTTGTTCTCATGGCACCTCTGGGTTCTTAGGGATGGCAGGGAATTTGCTGTTGACATATGAAGCTGTCCTGTTCAGATCTGCCTCTGGGGTCCTCTGCCCACTCAAAGAAGCCGTAGTAGCTGTGCAGTCATGACTTAGAGTCTTACCCAGGTTGCTAATAGCCTGGGCCAGGTACAAGAGCCCTGTACCCAGGGAGCCACTGAAGGAGAATACCCCAGACCTGTTTCACTCAGGTGAGGTTTTTCAGGTAAGGATACCATGTTACCTGTGCCATCCTGTTACCTGTGGAGGATTCCTTCTGTGCTGTATTCCTTGGCTGAGGTGTGAGATGCCCTCACTGTGGAGCAATTAACTCTAACAAAATAGAATGGAGAGGGGGATCATGTGCTTCACATCAAGCAGAAGGGCCACCCAGCACTCTGAAACTATCCAAACTTTTACGCTGCTTAGCAGAGAAGTTTGCTTGTCACAAGCAGCTCAGGTTTCTGCCATACAGCCCGAGCATTTTCATTCCAGCTTGGTAAATACATCAGAACCAGATGTGTGCTGCTGCTGCAGGCTTCTACCCAGGGGCTGAGGTGCTGGGGAGATGTCCCCAACAGGATAGACTAGAAATTCATTGCCCGAACTCACCAAGCGTCCAGACAGGGCAATATGAAGGAACGAACTATGGGGCAATAAGCAGATGTGCTCGACACCGAGATTAGGTGCTGACACCTCCAACTGCCTGGTCCTTTAGCCTGCGTGCTTCACGGTGGCTAACCAGAGACCCTGCAAGCAGCCCTCTCCTCTCTTCTTGCTATGGACTCCCCAAAGCAATTTATTCCCTCCCTCCCCCAAGGCCTCCTCCTCCCATCCCAGAACCTAACATGGATTTCTATTTGGGATAAGAAGGGGTTTCAATAAAGAGGCAGGGCGGGGTGGTGAACCAGCTTCACTAATAAATAAATCCAGCCACAGTAGCCTTTACACCAAAGGACTATACTCACTAACCTTTTCTTTTCAAACAATCACACAGCCAGTGGCCAACACCATTTCAACCCACGAGCAAAAAGAAATTTTAAAGCATAGACCAAGTTCCTATTTCTTCCTGGCTCTCTGAGTTGACCGTCCCTCGCTTCCTCACGTCCCAGCTGTCTTGATATCCGTACCCCATCTGAAGATTTAAAGCACTTCCTTAAAATCTCCCAGGTTTTCAGCATTACGCAAGTACTTGGAGAGAGAATGAACTTTCCCACCCCAATCCTACATCCAAACCAAATACATTATAACCACCATCATCAATTACACTTTGCATACTTGACACGCCAGCAATGTAGACTCCGTTATTTACCAGAAGTAGCAATAAACTTTACTGAAAGAAATAAATTCAACACTGACCATGGGATACCTATGGAGAACTCTTTGAAAACATCATGCCTATCTTCTTGCCTCCTGTATTGGGTGGAGTGCTGTAAAAATCTTGGGCAGAAGAATTTTAAAACAGCTTGATTACTTTAAGTAGTGCTGGAGTCCTCAACTCCAATCATTAGTAATAGTCATTAATAGTCATAATTGGTATTTAATTGCTTGATCTGATTGTTGCTTTATTCACGACCTGATTTAGTTTTAGGGGGGAGTACAGGTGGTTCAGAATCAGTCAAGGGAAGCCATTTGCAGGCAACTTTTTCAAGCAGAAGGGGAAGTACTTTTGTTATATTTGCAGACATGTGTCTCACACATTTTTTCCTGCTTTTTGTAAACTATCTAAGAATAAACATTACAGATCTGGGTTTTAATTTATCCAGATGGGATCATAACGTACCTAGGATTTTTTATATATATATACTATCGAATTGAGGACACATGGCGCTATTCACACGGAAAGCCGAAGAGAAAGTCAATGCGAAAGCAGAAAAAACTGAATCGCTGGTGGAATCGAGTATCTGAGCAAGTTCACTTTATTCCTTCGCAGGAAGAGGGTCAGGGGCGCGTGAGAAAGTTTCCCTAGGTCTCTGTAGAGTGATACCGCCGGGCGGGCCAGACCTTCCCACCAGCCGCCGCTGGGGCTCTGGGCTGTGTGACCTCTCTTCCCTGATCGCCCCCCACCCCAACACACACACACTTTTCTGTGCTCGGGTCTGCGTTTCACCGTGGCTCCGCTTTGCAGAACCTACCCGAGACTCCCTCTGCTAGTGTGCTCCGCACCTCCTGCCTTCGCCCTCCTTCTCCCCGTTCCCTGCTTCTCCTGCCCGCTCCGCGCGCTCTTGGACTCACCCCGGCGCGGTCCTTCCACTCCACACACAGACAGGAAACTGGCCTCGGTCCCGGCACCATTTGAAACCACCTTTTATCAATACCATCAAAGCCAAGAGCACACACTTCGGGCTTTGAGCTCCCCAGCCCGCTTCTAATAGAAAACCGGGGATAGGGGGAGGTTGGTAGGGGCGAGAAATCCTCCGGCCAGCCCCGACTTCAGCTTTCGTATGGGAATGACCGCCAAGGCCGCTCTCCCAGAGCCCGCCTCGCCGCCCGGGCCCCAGCCTTGCCGGCCCTCGGTTCTCTTCCTGGCCTGCCGGTTGTCGCTGCGCTTGCTCTGAGTCGGAGCTGCGACGCGCGGGGACCAGGCCGGTGGGCTCCCCTCCGCCCGTCCGGCTGGCCGCGCTCAATATTAAATATTCATGGAGATCGCTACTTTCTTAAAGGAGAACCTACCGCGCGGGAAAGTTCACAGCCAAGGGGACGCACAAAGGAAGGTCTCTGCTCCTGCGTGTTCCCAAGGTTGGAGAGGTGCAGCCCCTCTCCGCTCAGTGCTCGCTCGGACTGACATTAAGGAGAGGTCTAGGGGAAGGGATTACCGTAGCTTCAAGTCTCTCCTTTCTTGAGGATGTGGAAGGAGCGATGAACTTGGCGGAGAGAAAACTCGCTCCCTGATCCCGAAACTAATTTTCGAACCAGCTCTCGGATCTTACGCCCTAGGGTCCCCAGAGACTTTTTTGTTTTAAAAATGAAGGCTGTCTGATGTCCCCAGGCTCCACCAGCACTGGGGGCAGCAAGAAAGTTGGCCCCGCGTTGTTGGAACCCACGCACGCCCTACGTTTAGTAAATCTTACCCTGAACAACAGTTTCATTTGAACGGTTGAAACGACCGCATCTGCACCTGCCCCCTTCTTTTAAACAGTGAGCCCTGTTTGTGGGGCAAGTCAGGGAGTAAAAAGGGACTGCAATGGCGCGTTATCGAGGCTCCTGTCTGCGCCCCAGTTCTCGCCTCGGCGCGTCCTCGAGGCCTTCCCTCCCGCGCTCGGAGGCCTGGCGGTCACCGGCAGCCGGAGTCGGCTTTCCCAGGCCGCAGCCAGCGCCCGCCTTCTCCCCAGGGAGCGCGGCCAGGGACCCTGGCGCGAGCAAAAATGGGAAGAGGGTGGGCAAAGCCCAGTGCTCTGGGCTGGCGGTGCGGAGGACGGCCCGGGATCGCGTCCCCGCCGGGGCCAGGCCGACCCGTGACGGGGCCACGCGTGGTGCCAGGGCGACGCCGCGCCCTCACAGTCACACACACTCACACTCACATCCGAGGTTCTTTTTGTTCCGGGCCAGGCACACTTTCACAAGTGGTTAGAAAGTCTTGGGCGCCATCTAACGGGAGCAGCACAAAGTTGACGCCGGGTGGAGGTTAGACGGATGAAGCGCAGGGACTCCCCCGCCCCTCCTGGCACTCCAGGGCTTGTCATCACCAACACCACCCCCAACACACGGAACACGCACACACTTGCGAACTCCGGAGTCCCCCGAAGCCTACTTTCCCAAGGACCAGGGAGCAGCGCTGGCCTGGCCGCCTGGGACAGTCTTCTGTCTGGAACCGTCCCCTACGCCCCTGCCCTGTCCTCCCTTCCTCGTGCCCACAGGCTGCCGAGCAGGAAGGGTCGTCTTGCACCTGCCTTAATAGGGCCCTGGCGTCGTTCAAACTCTATCGTTCCTTTCGGCCAGTGACGAAAAGTTCCAAGTAGCATCGGTGGGCGCACTTGTTTTCTGAAAGGAACAGCCATCTAAAGAAGTGATCTGCAATCAAAGAAGCTTCCAGAGGAATGAGGGGAAAGAAGTGAAAGAGGATAATGGTAATAAAACAACGAAGAAGGGCCCAATTGGGAGATCTGGTCTTAGGAGAGCCTCCCTGTCTGCTGGGAGGAAAGGGTTGAGGAGCTACTACTTTCAGAAGCCTGACAAGTGATGATGACCAGGAGGAGAGAGGGCTAAGGAAACCTGGCACAGAAGGGATGGAAGAGAGGTACCCACCTACCCAGAAGATGGGCTGGCGCTTGAGGAGGCCCAGACCTCATTTGAGGGCCAGTGAGCATAGGAGATACAAATTCGGGCCATGTGTTCTTGTCAGCACTAAGGGATTTTATAGTCTGGAAGAGCTGGTGTCTCTGACCAGCTGTGAAACAAAGAAAAGGAAGGAGAGGTGCCAGTCAGGCCCAAATCACCCTCTCCTCACACCCCAACAGCTGCCATCTGTCCTGCTGTTTAACAGTGTGGGTGACCTATCTCCATGTCTCCAAGAAAATGGCCAGAGGCAACAATGGTCAGTGGACAGGCTTAGACACCTGGTGGCTGGCCCTGGTGATGCTATTAGAGGTGTCTGGGCTGGAGTCTGCTTTACAGAGGAAAGCAGTGAGTTTCACCAGTCTAGGCCCAGAGTTGTCGAAGGACTGAGATCCTCCTGCCCTGCCCTCCCAAGTTTATAAAATAGAGATTAAAATAATCTGTTCTTCCCTCAAGTACATTATGAGGGTAGAACATGAAGTCAGATATACACATTATTTTACTGTGGTAAAATACACATGAAACTTACAGTCTTAACCGTTTTTAAGTGTACAGTCAGTGACATTAGGTCCATTCCCATTGTTGTAGAACCATCACCACCACCATCCACAGAATATTTTTATCTTCCCAAAATGAAACTCTCTGCTCATGAAACACTAACTTCCCATTCCCTCTTCCCCCATTCTTTGGTAACCACCATTCTACTTTCTGTATCTATGAATTTGACTACTCCAGATATCTCTTATAAGTAGAATCGTACAGTATTTGTCCTTTTGTGTCTGGCTTATTTTACTTAGTATAATGTCCTCAAGGTTCATCCATGTTGCAGCATGTATCAGAATTTCCTCCCTTTTTAAGGCCGAATACTAAATACTCTGTTGTATGTACATACCACATTTTGTTTATCCATTTACCTATCGATGGACTCTTGGGTAGCTTCCACCTTTTGGCTATTGTGAATAATGTTGCTATGAACATGGGTGTACAAACATCTCTTTGAGATCTTATTTTCAATTCTTTTGGGCATAGACCCAGAAATAGCATTGCTGGCTCATATGGTAAATCTACATTCAACTTTTTGAGGAACTTCCATTCCATTTTCTGCAGTGGTGTACCATTTTGCATTCCCATCGGCAATGCACAAGTGTTCCAATTTCTCCACATCCTCACCAACACATATTTTCTGTTTCGTTTTTTAAAATAATAGCATAATGGGTATACAGTGGTATCCAATTGTGGTTTTGAAACAGTTTTTTAAATGTAAATATAGAAACATAATGAAATAATACTAAATAAGGCAAGTTAGCCACAGGTTTCAGCAGAATGGAAGTATCCTAATAATTATTTCAAATCTCTGATCTTTAATTTTTAGTACATTCTAGAACAAAAGGAAAAGAGAAGAAATGGCCAAGAAAGAGGGGCACACAGAAATAACACTATTTGATGATCATGTTTTCGCCTCTCTTTCTAATCACAAGCTGGAAAATCGAGGGGCTATAGTATTCGTGAACCCTATTTCTTTATTTGTTTCCAGGAGACCAGAGAGTCACCCTCTCTTAAGTAGAGGGGAGAGAAAAAAATCATGCTTGCCTTCTTCCTGGATTCTTTGATTTATTCCAATTGAAAGAGAACTGAGTGTCCCAGACATCCGCCCTGCAGACTGGTAGAAATCTTTGAAGTCCTTTTTTTCAAGAAAGGGGCTGAAAAATGGCAAATATGCAAGCAGGAGGGCTGTCATTCTGCCCCCAAATTCCCTGGTTTGGGAGCTACCTCACAGGGCAGGGCATCCCTTTGTATGCTTTGTATGCCCTTCCTTACGTGGCCCTATTTGCCAGTAACCTCAGGCCAGCCTTATTTAGTCATTATGTGTAGTGTGTTTACAAAGTTCTCTATTATCCTTTCTTTTCTATATTCCAGCCTAAGGAAACAGGTTCGTTCCCCACCCACATATTAAGTGAAAATATCCACAGTGGGCACAAGATAATAAATGGAAAGGACTGTGGTGACAGGGTCGTGGCCGAGGCTCCTAGCCTGAGCTTTTCCTTGGCCCACTGAACCACACTGTGCCTTTCATCTGACAGGAGGGTTGGCACAGGACAGAGATGGGAGAAACCAGAGCAGCAAGGCTTGGCAGAGACTTCGACCTTCCTTCTGCCACCAGGCCAACTTTGCCACTTGCCGAACCACTGAAGCTCAGTGGTGTTTAGCTCTTCTGGGTTCAGGGGCATGGAGAAGGGGGCTGGGAAGCCCTTTAGGGAAGGGTTTTGTAGACGCAGTTCCCAGTACCTTGCCTCCAGTGCTGGGCTGGCCCTCCCCTTTAATTGCTGTGTCTGCTCCCCAGAGAGAAGAACTTACTGCACATCAGGAACTCAGTAACTTAAGACAAAGGAAAAAAAATCACTACTGTGACACATGCATGCACACAAAATCATTTCCTCTTCTCTTGTTAAAGCTACTTCCATGTGTGAGAGAAGATGCAGAAGGATTACGTTCTGGGGGCGCTGGGGCCAGGAGACCTCTCAGCATTCTGAAAGGGCTTTGTAGTATTTGGATTCAAGCCATTTGTTTCTAGAGAGAATCACATTGGGTAGGAGCTTGCTTTTTCCATTTGCAATGGCTTATTAAGTATAAGCATCTCTCTTCTCTCTGTTTATTGAGTGATTAGCTCTCCCTCCAACTGACCCTGCCAGGGGAAATAGCCAAAGTATATCCTTAACACACAGTTACCCTGCAAAATATCCTTCCCTAAATCCAGAGACCACAGGCAGGGCTCGTGGTTAATTCTGGTGTCTTCCTTTTATAGTCTGCAGTGAGGATCTCCACTGCTGATACAGTGTGCACTAACGCCACCCACATTTCCACGGCTCCAGTCCAGTCACAGTGGAGAGGGAAAAGTGAAATCTAGCCATGTCAGAGGTAAGCGGTATTGTACCCTCTGCACATTGCTTGGCTGGGAGGCTGTAGCTTCATGGCTCAATTGCAGTCACTGAATCTTTGTACCACGACCCTTCCCACAGAAGACTCTCCTTCCTTATGGGACAGAACAAGGACTAAAGGAAAAGTCTTCATGCACCTGGATGCAGGCAGCTGAAAAATCTGGAAGCTTGGAAACAGTAAAGATTAACCAGATACTGGCTGATGAGTAGCTGTTTGCCTGGCTGAACTGGCCGGTTTTTATCTAGTAGGTCCGGTTAGTAAAAGGACAGAGCAGCTGTGCTTGCAGACCCAGCCTTCATCATCCCGATTCCGAAGGTCAGAATGGAAACAAAATCACGCAATTTATCCAAATTTTAGAGACTGAATTCAATTGTAGGGTCTGTTCTGGAAACGAGGATGAATTATTTCGAACTAAGTGGATTCTTTCTTCTCTCTGCCAATTTCTTCACTGTGATACAGGGAAAACCGAAGATATATCGTTGATAATGCAATTTAAATATTGTCTACCTGCATATAACAGAGGCTAGACTGCAGTGAAGTAATTAAGCTATTTTCAACCTCTTCCATATTCTCAATGGAAGCTCAGTGCTTTTGTTCTGCATTATGCCTTTGTGATAAAGCTTCACTCTTACGATTCTACAGTTAGAATCTGTAACTGTTGTACTTACTGTGTGAACCTAGGATTTTTTACACTTGACAAAATACAGGACTGAAGCAGGGCCTGTGTATAGGAGTCAGCATCTCGTCTAAGGGTTGGGATTATTCACCATGCCAGTCACCCCTTCCTTACCATCTCCTAATAAAAAATAAACCTCTCAGATCGCAGTACTGAGGGAGGGCTGAGGCTGCTGGGTGTTGCATATGTATTTATTGCTGGTGCCATTGATTTACTCCCTCTATGTGTTCATATACATCCGCTCTTGTTTCTTCAGATGGTGCCATCATATCCATTCTGACCTGTTCACCTCTCCATACCAAGGAGTGGTGCCAGAGCCCAGAAAAGGAAGAAAACCTCTCCACTCTGCACAGATAGTCTTGCGTTCTTTTTGATCTCAAAATTCCCTTTCCGACATCCCAAGATTTGTGTATTACACCATACACACATGACAACACAACATACACACAACACACAGCACACATAACACACAGTACACGCAACATACACATATGTGTCTTAAGTCACATAGGGGCCCTGACCACAGTTCTTCCTACTCTGGTGTTCAGGAGACCAGGCCCAAGAATGGGGACATGAGTTGGCATCAGGTAAAATGGTAGCCAAGCCATGCCCATCCTCTGAGATTCAGTGTGGTTACCTCAGGTGACAGCCAGTGGAAGAGGCAAGAAAGGTGACTTTTTTGTTTCTTGTACCTCATTTGCAATTTGTTTTCTCATTTTTTTTCAAGTCTTTTTGAAAAAAATCACCCATCTCAGTGAGGCTAAGAGAAATCCCCAGAAGCAAGATTTTCCTATAATTGAGCCAGAACATTTAAAGATAGCTGCCTACTCCTTTGGCAAGCAGAATGGGGCAGCAATCATGAAGTGAGAGGTGCCCAAGGGGGAAGGCATTGGGGCCCCCTCATCGTTATGTATCTTCCTTCTATCACTGTGGCCTCTGCCCTTCGTTTTCATAGCGGAAACCCTGTCCCAGGCCTGAGCTTTTTAAATCCAAACCTACTGAGGGGTGCAGGCAATGTGTCCAGGTCACAGAGAGCAAGTCACAGGACAAGCACCACGTGTCTTCCTGGAGCAACAATTTACTACATGATTATTTGAGGAGCAAGTTAAGGAATTTAACTGATAGATAATTTCAAACTGTATATTTCAGTTAAAACCAGCATGGATCAATACAATATACAATAGCACATAAAATCATCATATAATTTATAAACAAAACCAACACTTCAAATGAGTTTTGTGACTGAAAATGGTGGCTTTAGACCAACCAATACCTGCCCCTTCTTTGCATCTAAGCACATGGAGTTTCTTCTGACAGTGATATTTTGGAGGAAATTTTTGAGAATACTACCTTAGAGCTTATTCCCTTTCCTTTTTGTGGTTTAGATTTAAGCTTCGGGACGTTATATTTTCAGTTTCATCCTCTCCCCACCCGCCTCCCCGCCCCCACCACCACATAGACAGATTTGGGGCCACCTGTTCACTCCACAGCCAGGAGGATGGAAAAGCTCCCTCCTGCCAGATTCTCTCCTTCATCCACAACAATGCCCTCTCCAGCATTTCTGGAGGAGAAAGTCCTCCCTTGGCTTCACTTCCAGGTTCTGTGTTTGGACAGAGCACAGTCTGCACAGTGATTAACTCAGTGGGACTGGCTGGAGGGAGACTTGTTGTTTAAGGGGGAACCACTGAGAAGGCCCTAACACCTTCACATTGCTCGACTGCTCCTAGGCATGCCCAGTGCCTGACCATGCTTCCCACTGAGACATGGTGCCATGCTTGTATTTGTTGCTGGCACCATTGATTTTCTCCCTGTGTGTGTTCATATACATCCACTCTTGTTTATTCAGATGGTGCCATCAAATCCTGTTCACCTTTCCATACCAAGGAGTGATGCCGGAGCCCAGAAAATTAAGAAAAGCTCTTCTCTCCACTTCCCTTTGTTCTCCCAAAGATAAGGGTGTATTTGGTTAGTTCTCTGCAAACTCTGTGATTGTCACCATGCTCCAGATTAAGCCTGTGTGCGCGGTGCCCATTTCTTTCATCCGTGGGCTTGGGATAGTGCTAATCTGTTGTGGGCGGGCATGAGTCTGATGCTGTTCCACTGAGGAAACCAGTACAAGGCTGCCCTTCACCCTGAGCGGAGATTGTGGAATCAGACTCGGCCTTTCACTTAAATTCTCTAAAAAGTCAATAAAGAAAACCACTAATTTTATTAATAAGGTGAAAATATTATTTCTTGTCGGGTTTAAACTCTTAGAGGATGAAGGACATCTAGTTTATTTCACATATAACCTTTTAGTTTAAAACTAGTTTATTTCACATGGAATCTTCTTTTATTCATATCTAAACTTTTTTATATATACAATTGTTACACAGAAGTTCAATGTGCCTTCTCTGTCTCTGTCCTTGTCCCCCTCTCTATATATGTATACGAGATGATATTTGTATCAGATGATATATACCTATCAGAATGCAATCTATACAAAATATATTTTATAATATATATTTTTTCAGACTTGATCTTCAACTGGTTGCCTTAACTTTCTTCTGATATAGGCTTAGGTGTGTCCGTAAAAACCAATACATTTGCCTGAATTCAGTAAAATAGTCTTGATTCAAGTTTTAAACTGTAGTGACTTGTTGGAAGGGTTCAAATGGAGGGTCCTGAGTGGTTCTCAGGAATCCGTGTGCCTCTCTGACCCGTGAGCTCGTGCTGTGTGGCCATGTCCCAGAGAGTCTCATTCCTGGGGTATCTGTCACTACATCATCATTGTTCCCTCCACTCCACTGCATCTCGAGGTTGCTCTTCTTTTCTTCCCCCTTTGAAAATGGAAGAAGAAGAAATAAAATCCACACTTGTGAGGAAAATAACGAAGCGACTTGATATCTTGGTTACTGTCTGGTTGGTAGTATTATTGACTCACTGAAAGATTATTAGAGCAGATAAAATCTGCTGTTAGGGAATGCGTGTCTGAGAATTACACAGTGTTTCAAAGCGAAAGGTTGTTTGTCTGTTTTTCAAGTCTTATCTGAGTTTATAAATTTCAGGCCTCAGTTAATAGGCACAATCTTTCTGCTTAGAAAGAAGACATGGATATTTTTATTTACCTTTAGCTTTGCCTAGTCTCTCCATAGAGTGGACATTGGAACTAAAATGCTGTTTGTTCTGACTTCTGACTTTTAAGATCCCACACATTGACGGTCTGAGTAATCCAGTGAATTTCACTATCTTCATCTGACATTGTATGACTAAAACGCTCGAAATCTGAGCTCAGAAACAAATTCACATTCTAAGTGCTTTGAGAGCTGTGTATACCTTCTCATGTGATTCTTTTCTGCTCTTTTTACATTTTAATTCAACTTTCTTGCTCTAGGAGAAAACCAAGAAGAAATATCACAGAATAAAGTGAAAATTTTGCAAAATGTATTTAGGATAAGAACCGAACACCAGAACAATAGGTGAAAATGACAGGTAGAGTAAGTAAGACTATTGAATATCAGAAAATAATAGCTACTTAAATTTATTTCTGCCCCTAGGCAGGTCCTAGGGGCACATCACTCCCATGTCAATTTCCCAGGCAAGGCCCTCAAAGAGAGGAAGAGATGACCAGCTTGGCTTCCCTTGAAGAAAACAGGCCTTTCCCGTGAAGAATTTCAGGAGGAGGTATTGGAGAGAAAGAGCCTCCATTTTATGGCCTTCAGTCAAGGAGAGGCCCACCCCAAGTAGCCAGGGCCATCAGAGGGTCAATTCTCCAGGTGTGTGATGTGCCAGCAATGCAGCCCCCTCCCTCGGGCTTATCGCGGTCTTGGCCTCAGGGCTTTGTGAAGCAGTTTAAGAACTGGATTAGCTTTGGGCCTTAGATACTGCACACTGACGGGTTTTTTGTTTTTGTTTTTTTCCTTCAAATTGGGCATGAATGCACATTGGTCTGTCATCAGGCAGGGATGGAGCGGGCAGCCGTCCCTCTGTGGGAGCTTTGTGCAATGTGCTATCACTTGCAAAAGATCTGGCAAAGGAGAGCCAGAAAGATTACACAGCAGCTCTGGATTCTGTCCAGCTCCCCATTCTCAGCCCAGTTCACTTCTTTTAGCATCTGGGAGACTTAACAAATGCAATTCTCTACCTCCAATACAAAAGAGAAAAACGTATTTCCAGGACCCTCCCATACCAATGGTATGTTTGATGCAGAAAATCAGTGTTGTCTTGTTGCGATGCAAACATTTAGGGATGAATATCTTTAGGGTTCTGACTGTTCGGAAAGATATGGAGGGTAGGGGTGACCCTTCGCTAATCGGAAGCCGAAATACACTTGGGAATGCAGCAAGCTCTTTGCCTCAAGAGATCCTAGAGAAGAGTTAAGCTTGCCAGCGGCTTATGGACAGAACTGGCAAGGGCAGTGAGTGGGAGAAGGGTGCAAAGGACGTTTTCTGCAACTCTCACTTCCCTAGGTGTCTCCTCAGTGGCCCGTTTCAAATTGCTGCAGCGATGTGGAATTGCTCTTACCAGTGAGGACTGATTAGAACAGAGATCACGCTCACTGAGTGAGAGATGACACCAATCTGACATGATCGGGAGGGAAAGGGTGGGGGAAGGGATGACAGGGAAAAGTGTGACTACAAAGGATAGTACACAATTAAACTTAAAATTAGTTTGGAACAATGGTGAAAATCCAAACACATTTCTTTGAGGGTGATATCAAAAGAAGTCTACTGGAAACAACTTCAGGATACAAGGGGATGGAAAAACCAACAGTAGAGAATGACTGGGCAAGGACAGCACGAGAACTTCTGGAATTCAGTGCTCCTGAACCTTGGAACCACTGGCAGAGACCCTCTTGAGTTTGAGTGGCAAGCAGAGGAGCACCTCTCTCAGCCCTGTTTTGATTGTCTAAGGTGGCAGGGCGCATCTTGCCACCCAGGGAGCCACTCTGCTGCTCTCCAAGCATCCCACTAATGACTGGGCAGCCACTGAATAAAACCTCTGTGAGCCTAAAACCAACTCATGAAAAACCTTGGACAGCCATTCGCTGAGGAGGTCAGGACACACCACCCACTTCAACATATCCAACAGAGTAGCTAATACGGGTAATTGCAGGGCACGCATGTCTCTGCTGCGTTAGGCAAAACCTTCTAACGCTATAAAAAGCCACAAGGGTTTGGTGCCGTAAGCTAACAACGAGCTCTTCCCTGATTCAGAGGGGCTGACAGGAGATGGCCACACAGTCTCGTATTGAGGCAGAGGAAGCAAGCCTCATTCTGAGGTGTGTTAAAAGGAATGTGGGCACAAAGTTCCATATCCTCTTGCTGTGGAGGAACTCCCCTTCTAAGATCCACAACTCCAGCAAGATGGGAAAACCCTAAAGATGTTCCAAGGAAGAATAAGGCTGATAAACCAGAAAAGGAGGTTGTTTAATCTGGAACAAGGAAGCTAGAGACTATTGAAAAGAGAGCAGTTCAAGACATATAATGGCGTTTATTAAATACCTAGTGCGTCTGAGAAGTCCCAGGCATGGTCGGGCGGTAGGATGGCAACAGTAAAATGCAAATCCCTCTGTTATACAAAACAAAAAAAAACAAAGAAAAAAAACCCACAAAAAACAAACAAACATGATTTTCCATCCTTAATTAGGGCAAAAAAAAAAAAAGGTGTGTGTGTGTGTATGGTAAACCTGTATAAGCATGAAGCATAAGGGATTTAGGTTAAGCTCTATATTACTGAAAAATGTCTATCTATTGATCTGAATGATAGAATATTCTCAAGCTGTCAATTGATCCAACCACTTTTTGTGATGCGACAGTGGATACACGGAAGAAACTCAGCTGGCTTCTCTTCCTGCAGCTCAGGGTAGAGATGCATGCATAAGGCAACAGGAAGAGTCACATAAGAGTGAAAGAGCCTCTGGGAACTTTCATCCAAGAGATCTTTAAGCGTAAGCTGGAATCACCAGTGCGGGGCCATTTTAGATGTGAAACTGCTGTGTCTCGAGGCTAGATTAGATAAAACAACAGGGTGAAATGGTTCCACCATGTCTTGACAACAAAACTTTAAATTCCTGAAATTTAGGCAGAAAAATCCTATATTATTTGTACCCCCTACGCAGTCTCGAAGCATACTGGCACATAATGGGTGCCCAGTAAGTGTGGCAATGTGGACTGCAGTGCCTGATCCACCAGGGCCTTGCCCAGTCCCATGTGCTTTGCTGAGCAGGACACAAACTACATTTCCACACTCAGGCCACCACCGAGACAGACATCTGTAAACATACATCCCTGTATTTACATGCAAAAGAATTTTTATTTTCAAGCTTTAAATGGAGAAACTAAAATCAGTTAACACTTAACACATACAATGTTTTATTCTGAATAACAATTAGAAATAGGTATTTAAATCATCTAAAATTCTTCTTTGGTGAGATCCCTGCAATGCTGTACAGCACCTGCTTTTCATGAGTGGAGAGTGGGTACCAACAACAAGAAAGTACTATCTGTCTTCAAAAGTGCACCCAGCTCAGATAAAACATGACTTTTGCACCCATGCTGCACTTGAAAAAGACGCTTTTCATCTAAAAAGTACAGGGCTCGCTACGTGTGCAAAACGGGCCTATTTTTACAGGTTCTTTAGGGGCAAACATTAAATACTTTCGAAGAGTGCAGGTTTATTGGGAAGGCCCAACGGATTACTTTTTGTTGTGTGAAAAATCAAGACGCTAATGTGGGTTTTCAATAGGCTGCGTGTGAAGCGCCGCGTGGGGAGATAAAAATGGTCCTGGATGAAAGGGCAGCTGAGATACCAGGCTGGCAGCGGGGCCTGCCATCTCCCCAGTTCTTTACTGCGCCGTGATTTGGAAGGCTTTCAGAACATTGTGAGGACATGTTTTGTTGTTGTTGATCAAGGATTTCTGCATCTTGGAAGATACTGGCCTTGATTATGGGCAGAGAAAGTGAAAAAGTGAAATGTCTTTCAAGGCATGGTTTTGTTCTCAAGACTTGAGAAGATGCTTATGTAAATCCCACCCCCATGAGAAGGAAGGAAATATGAAAGAATATCTGTTAAGATTCATCATATGGAGTCCTTGGTTTCCAGCTTGATTTTACCACTCCTTACCCACCCATCCACCCACCCACTTCCTTCCCCAATCTCAGGAGAGTCACAGTAACCAATGTGGGGTTTATATTTAACACCTGCAAATCTTGGCGAAGAGACCTCCCTCTTTTCTCCTTCATCGCCACGCTCCTCTCACTGATCCAAATACTGAGTCAGCGATTCCCAAATTATGCCACTGAAAAGGAGGGGGAGACTTTTCGCATTAATACTGCAAAGGCCTAAAATGTTTGTTTTCAATTATCCTAGTCAGTAACCTTTAATCAAATTTTGATAATGCTTTTTAAATTAAAATTATTGGGGTGACATTGGTTAATAAAATCAAATAATCTTCAAGTGTATAATTCAGTAATACGTCATATGTATAATGCACTGTGTGATCACCACCCAAAGTTAAGTTTCCTTCCGTCACCAAATA